AAAGACTACGATGTAGTTAAATAATTTAGCTCAAAATCGCGCGACGGAATTCGGTTTTTTTTTTTGTTTTCTTTGTTTGTTTATAAGAGAAGGGGGCAAACGTGCGGCGGGAACACAGATGTGATCAACGACGCTCATGGACATCCACAATACCAGAGGAACTACAGATGCGTTGCCTAGTTTACATTGGGTATATACTTGAGTACAGTTAGACACGCTGTCAAAACTCACTGGTGCCAGTTTATGTACACATTATGCTACTTGAATGCCAGTCAAATTGTATATGTATATTGTATACTGGCAAATTATTCCAGTACAGTACGACAAACGCTGTCCTACTATAGATTGTTTTGGCGGTTTGCCACTAATTATGCTAGTTTTATGCCACTCTATAGTACGAGAGCTACTGTCCTACTATATGTGCTGGCATCGCGTAACCAGCTAATATAGGAATACAATATAAAATACAATTTTTTTATATAATCTCGCTACACCACGCCCTCAAGTACTAATGTATAGCTCATTTGCCATTTTGTATAATAAAACACTAGCAATATTTGACGTAAACATATTTTTTCGCAAGTATTGTCATGTATGTGTGTGCAGGCGCGCTGTTCCTGGTGCTGATGCTGGGCAGCCTGGCGTTCTTCGCCTTCATGTACCTCGTCAGCTTCTACTTCGGCGAGCGCGGCGCCAGCACGCTGCTCGTCGCTTGCATCATTCTATTTGGTAACACGACTGCATAAAATATCTCCATTGGCGAATCCATACCAACAGCCCAATGGGAAAAATCCAATCGGTAGGCCGATTGGCCCAACGGGAAACACAGTACCCGTAGTGCTCAAAAATCATGCATAATGGAAGACAGATTCCATGACCGAAATAAACTAATATATATATATAATAGAATATTAAACTAAATTCTGTCCAAAGTTGTTTAATTCCGACGCTAGAGGGCGTCAAGTTTGACTTTTACGTTTTTGCAAATGTATTGAAAACAATTGAATAGATTTTATTCATATTCAAACCATAGATCTGCTTTAATAAAATACGCTTTTTGAATGTTGAAGTAATCTATCATATATGAAATAGTTTGGATGGATGTATGGATAAATATTTGTTACTATGTATTAATGTTTCAGTAATATTCATAGCCTGCCAGGCTACTTACTAATATTAATTTATGACGCAGGTTTCCTGACAACGTCAATGAAGAAAGCGTCAGATTTCTTTAAGGAGAAGCAGGATGCGGACTTTTCGTACTACATACTAGTGGTGTGCGGCTGGTTGACGCCGCCGCACACGTTCACGGTGGCGGCGATGAAGGCGGTGAACGTGGCGCGCCTTAACGCGTACTGCGAACTCAACAAGCAGCGCTGTCCCGCACTATACGTTATGGAGGATGGATTTGATGCTGTGACTTGCTGCCGTTAGTACTACATTTACCTTAAATGTGCAAAATATACTTAAATAATTGTTCACTTTATTTTAATGTTCATATTTATAAAAAAAATAATTGAAGTTATCGAAATTCAGATGCACAAATGACAACAAAGATCTTTGCTATTGGCTAACAAATGCCCTCACGACAATCTTTGTATATTTTTTTTTCATTTTATTTACCATCTAAATTCAATGTCGTGAAAATGTGTAAACTATATCGTTGTAAATGGAGTAATTTTTAATAAAAAAAACATGCCGAGATTGCTAACATCCTACATAAAATGTGTGTTTACGCTTTATTATATTAGTATAGTATATAATATGAATATAGAAATTATACGTGAATGAAGTACAGTATGAATTTTTAAAATTTAAAATCCGATGTCGAAATAATGTATTTTCAGAGTTAAACCGCAACCCTCGCTGCTACTTCTGTTTCGACGAGTTCTCGCCCGCGGAGCCTATGGTCATCATGTTCTGCCAGTTTGTCGGATTTATGGTAAATAAATGCTTTTTCTGCCCATACTAATTTCAACTATATTTAGAAAATCAAGAGTTAATTTAAAAAATATTTTTATGTAGAAAGAATAATAGTTCTGTATTTTTTGTAATAAAAGATAATTACAAATAAAACACGTGTAACGTTGTCACCTTTTTCGTACAGGACTGTCTTTAGAAGGATTCTTGCATTTTTGTCTAATTTCTCTATCTACCTCTCTTCCACAGAGTTTTATAATTAACTAGCTGTTGCTCGTGACTGGGTCCGCATTAAATTAAAAAAATATACAAAATATAGCCTATGTCACTCACTGATGACGTAATTTTTATGGTGAAAGAGTTTTTGAAATCGGCGCAGTAGTTTTTGAGTTATTGCAATTCATACAAAAACACAATTTTTTTTCCTCTTTATAATATTAGTGTAGATTATCTAAGAAATCAAGAAATATGTTACAAATATTATTTTAGTGAATTTAAAAACTTCGTAATATTATTTTGATAGCACTATCATTAGAAGAGATTTTTTTTCTATTTTCTCAATCTACCCTACAGAACTTCATAAATATATTAATAAATGGTATATATTATTAATACACAGACGTTAGTAATAATGACTGAATACGGCGTGTTCAACCGGCTGGCGGACCGCGTACTGAACGCGCGATACCGCGCCGCCCCCGCAACACACACTGACGACCTCGTACGAGCCGAGGCTACATACGTCAGGAAAGCTATCGCGTTACGTAAGTTAATACTCCCCTTAGTGCGTACTTCGTGTTGATAAAACTAAGGGGTTATAATGATGAATTAGTTACTTATGCATCATCATCACCAGTTCACTATACATCCCCACCGAGGGGCTCGGAGCCTACCCTGGGTAAGGGCGACTAGGACATAGTCAACCACGCTGTACTGCGGGTCGGTTGACTTCACACATATCTTTGAATTTCTTCGCAGAACGAGATGAAGTAGGTTTCCTCATGATGGTTTCCTTCACCATCTCTGGTGATGGATGAAGATGTTGTAGGAAACCAACGTGAGGAAACCTACTTCATCTCTTTCTCTCTTCACCAGGTCTGGTAAATTATGTACATATGAAAATTCGAAAAATCGAAAATCACATTGGTACACGGCGGGATTCGAACCCAAGACCTATAGATTACAAGTCAAGTGCTTAAACCACAGAGCCACAGAGGCTCCCTACTTATGTATCACAAGTCTTTTTTGGAATACTAAAACCCTCGGTAAATAACCTATAGGTCTGGGTATGGACCGATCTTGCGGTCGAGGGTTAAAATCCCGCCATTCGACTATTAGGAATATTCTAGCACAAGTAAACAGCTTAGTTAGAATGGTATAAGTAAATTAACAAAAATCTATTAATGTTTAAAAAAAGGATTTTATTTCTGGAATAGCTTATAGCTAATTAAAAAAATACTTAGTAAGTAATACTTAGTAACCTATGTGTTTTCCATACTATTTACATCTAAAATAAATTTTAATAAGATCTGTTAAATAGTTTTAGAGATATGTAGTAAAAAAACATCCATCCATCCAAAGCAATATTAGAATAAAAATATAGCTTCTTAATTATTTGTTGTTCAGCACCAGATCAGATCCAAGAGGCGATGCTGGTGGATGACTTACACAAGAACTACGTCCAGTTCATCAGGAAGTCCACCAATGCTGTCAAGGGGATCAGCTTCTCTGTCAAAAAAGGTTAATCAAATATATCATATGTAAAATACTACTTTGCAAATTTACATCAATTTAGAAGATTCACACAACAAAGGATAATTTTACGCTTAAAATGAAAAAAAAAATATTAACATTTTAACATCTGTCAGATTGTAAACGACGTTTACGATGCCAAGTGCTTAAGGTTTAAGTATTAACCCCAGAGTAACTTAAATCTCTATCTCTATAAAAAAAAAATATTTGAATATCGACTATAAGATTTCTTTAGGTCGATATTAGCTAAAAGTACTTTACTGACTGGTGGGGTCTGCCTTAAATACCTTACCTTGTCACGAAATATGCATGTATAGTACATAATTTTATAGAAATATGATTGAAAATCATATGAAAGCATATTTTTATATTTATTTGTATATAGGAGAATGTTTCGGTCTACTGGGAGTGAACGGCGCAGGCAAGTCCAGTACATTCAAGATGCTGACTGGCGAGGAGTGCGCCACACGAGGGACTGTCTTTGCCAACGGACAACATATAGACAAGAATCGCACCAAAGTAAGTTTTAGTGTGGGTTTACACTGAAATACCGGTACAAATACATCTCTGGTTTATAACTAAAAGCTTTTGCCCGCGACTATATCTGCGTGGAATTAAAAATAGTATGTAGATTGTATTTTTAAGACTATTCTCTACATTTGTACTTAAATTTATCAAGATCCGTTAAGCTGTTTAGACTAAATCTATACTTCTATACTAATATTATAAAGAGGAAAGATTTGTATTTTTGTATGTATTCGATTCACGTAAAAACTACTGGACCGATGTCAAAAATTCTTTCACCATTAGACAGGTAAGTAACTTAGGCTATATTTTCTATAATTTTCACGCAGGCGAAGTCGCGAGCAACAGCTAGTACTCTAATAAACATCCATCCATTCATCTAAACTTCGCATTCATAATATTAGTCAGATTAATAAGATTATTACAATACTAAGTATAAATATGTGTTGTTCCAGTACCTGCGGTCGCTGGGCTACTGTCCTCAGTTCTTCGGTCTGGACGAGTTCCAGTCGGGCTACGACAACCTGGCGCTGGTGCTGACGCTGCGCGGCCTGGCTGCACACCACGTCAAGGCTGAGGCTGACAAGTGGATTGAAATCGTTGGTAAGATATTCTGTTTATGTAATTAAGTAAGGATTTTAACTAAATTGTATTTTTGGTCCTTCGAGCAGTATAAAATTATATTTCTATATACAATACGCTAAATTTAAGTGAACCTATTAGGAATCTGGTGTGTTATGAACATTTTTATTATGAACTAGCTTTCGTCCGAGACTCCGTCCGCATGTATGTGTTGTTCCAGACTAATACGTCTATGTCAATTTTTATCGAGATCCATTCAGTCGTTTAGGCTTTACAAATTCTAAGAAACACCGATCCATCTAAACTTTATAATTTATAATAATAGTAAGATTTTATTTCCGCGTGAACGAAGACGCGAGCAACAGCTAGCCTATAGAGGAAAGATTTGTTTTTTGACATAAATCAAACACTACTGGGCTGATTTCAAAAATTCTTTTACCATTTAAAAGCTACATTATCACTTAGTAACACAGTCTATGTTTTTTACTATTTTTTTGATTCCACGCAGACAGAGTCGCGAGAAACAACTATCTAGGTATAATTTTGATACTTATTGTAAGCCTAATTTTAGTCTCTTTCCCTTTTCACCCTTTTCTTAAGAGGAAAGGATGTGAAGGAAAAGTGGATTTGACGGTGGAGGAGACGCATAGGAAGGGAAAATGTCCCCTTTATGTGCGTC